GTGACACACAAATAATTCTACCCCAAACCACCGGAGCCCATTTGAAAACAGCCACAGCTTGTGTTTGGCCTGAGTCACGCAGACAGTGGGACTGCAGGGAAGAGCCCCCTGTCACAGTGCCTCAAGGACGAGTTATTTTTAATAAGCTCTACTTGGCAGAAATTCAATGGAGAGGTGGGGATGGTATAGATGGCACTGGCTAGTTCCCAAATTTCACAGACCATAACTGCAACACCAAGAATGTGACCAGCTCTCCTTTCTCTGAATTCCAGTCAGGACGGAAGAAGAAAACACAATTTCAGACAAGAAGTTACAGAAAACTCAACAGAGTCTTCATGCAAAACAGAATGGTCCAGAGACTAGTTATGATGATAAAAGAGACTTGCTAATTCCCAGGTACAAGTGCAGAGGGGACAGGTCAGCCTTTCGAAGTGGAGGCTCTGTTGAAGCACATACAGAACATCTGACCTGTTAACATAGGAGCCAGAATCTCATTTCCTTTTCAATAAACAGCTCTTGGTACTGGCCCAGCAAGAAGGGAAGGACCGCATGACCAGAGTGAAAATGGGCATCCATTGCATTTTATTTTCTCCCTTCTCAAATGGACTGGAGGCTCCTAACAGAACATGTGGCTGGAAAATTCCATGGACTCCTGGGCTCAGCCTGACCCTGCTCTGTCTCATCAACTCTCTAGACCGTCTCAAGGCTCTGGCCACTCATCTTTTCTGGGGGAGGGATGGGGAGAGGGGTGTTAGCCCTAGTCCTGCACTTTGCCTTTGGTGCTCATCACTGATCCATCGACATCCACCTCCTGGGTGAGGGTGTTTCCTGAGCCCACAACTTTACATCCTAGATGTATGGCAACAACTCCCGGGCTACAAGAAGGATCCTAGAAACACCTAGGTCAGATCATGCCTTTCATTGTTTCCTAAAATCCTCCAGCGGTTCCTGCACTTCAAGTAACATAAAAGCCAAAGCTCTTTTAATGGTATACGTCTTCCATGATCAATGCTCCCCCTCCTCCCTGTGCCCTCACTGCCTCCTCTCCAGACATGGACAATCTTGCCTACAGGCCTTCTCACTGGGTGTTCCCGGCCTGAAATGCCCTGCCATTATGTACTAGCTCCCCCAACAACTTCCGGTCTTCAGTCACATGTCACTTTCCAAGGATTCTGACCATTACAATGACACTCCACTGATTCTGACTGATACTCTTTACTGAATGCTGCATTCGGGCTTCCATTTCCTCACTGCCAACCATTGTAATCTGTTCTGGTTACTTTTTCCCACACCACTTACCACTGGTGTCTTGTGCTTTCAGTGTATGGCCCGCCCTTTCCTGGCTAGAAGGTAAATATCACAAGTGCAGAGATCTTGATGAATATTCTCTTTATCAATTTATCCTAAGGGTCTAGAACTCTGCCTAGAAGAGAGTACTTTTGCAACATGAATGAAAGGATAAAGACTAGTGAAGAGCTTAGAACTGGGGCTTCTCATTCTACTTCAAGTGAAAATTTCATGGTTTTCTGGGATTGCTGCAGAAAAGCAACTAAGGCCAAGGTGAAGGTTCTCTGGGTCACAGTCTAGGTGGTTGTGGTGGTGACAGTAGGGTTACACTAGGGGCTCTGGTGTATCTTTGAGGGCTATAAACAAAGACCCTTGAGTCCCTGGTACACAGAGGTCGCCCCCTGCCCATAAGAGCTGGTGACAAGCATTCAAGCATTTCACCAACTGAGCTATTTCCCCCATCCCAAATTGGGTATCTCGAAAACACAAATATAGGGAAAGAGTTTCATCAGCATTTCCTATGTAGACTTTACTGTTGGGTAGCCAGAGAGTAATGGAAGTGCTCCAGCTGGTTTGAAGCAAGAACAGACAAGATGGAAATGTTACCCTTTATTCCTCAACAGAAATGGGTACTGAATATCAATGGCTGATACCACCTCAAAAGGAAAGATGACATGGGCCGGGCGTGGTGGCGCACGCCTTTAGTCCCAGCACTCCCGGAGGCAGAGGCGGGTGGATCTCTCTGAGTTCAAGGCCAGCCTGGTCTACACAGTGAGTTCTAGGCCAGCTGGGGCTACAGGGAGACGCTGTCTCAAAAAGACAAAAAGAAAGAAAGAAAGAGGGGGGGGGAAAGAGAGAGAGAGAGAGAAAGAAGAAAGAAAAAGAAAGAAAGAAAGAAAGAAAGAAAGAAAGAAAGAAAGAAAG